TTGCTGTTGTAAGAGAGCTTTCAGGGCATGTAAGCCAGTGTGTGGAAGGTTTACAAGAAAGAAGAACTACTTTGCAACAACAAAAGTCAGTTCTTCAAGATTTGCTAACTAACTTACAGCGTTTTGCATGTGTGGAGCGAGTTGGGATTGAATTAAACTCATCCCCATCGTTTGACATCGTAACCTTGGACAGATGGGAAGTTAGTCATGCCAATCTAATTGGGTTAATCGAAGATCAAGGTATGTTCGCTACCCAAGCATTGGCAGAGATGAACACAGACTCAAAAAGTGAAGTGTTGCATGCAATTCGCAACCTGTTTTTGGAAGCAGTTTGTAATTTGAGCAAGGTAGAAGCTACATGTAATGAGTTGAACCAAGCTGCTTCTAGTATTTTGCAACCTTGCTTGACTTTGAGACTGGTAGCTATGAAGACACGAGAAATTATTCAATTAGTTCTTAAATATCAATATCGTCTTCAACTTTCTTGGGAACAAGAGGACATAAATAAAATAGTGGAAAAACTCAAGGAGCTTCTGGTTTTTGTAAACAGAAAACATTGTCTTCGAAATGCTTTGAGTAGGTTGACTGAGCAGTCTGATTTTTGCGAAGCTTGAAGTACTCCGAATATTAGGAATAGGTTTCCTGGACTTATGGAATTTGTAGGAGGATTAGCTTGTCTATTTCCTAATACTGCAACAGTAGAAAGTGATTTTTCAATTTTGAAATGGGAGAAAGATATTCATAGGTCCAATATAACTCCCATTTCTCTTCAAGGTATATTACAGTGTCGTCAAATTCAAAGTTTATTAAAGAAAACATGACAGATTTATGTCATGTTCCGTATTTTGTTTTGGAAATATTACTTATTTTGACGAGATACGGAACATAAGGAATTCGCCCTATATAGAGAGGCCTGATCATTATTGATGGTAAACTCAATCTTGCCAATGCATTGACCAAAGTGATCTCATTGGAAATTTTTTCCAAGCATTATGCAAAGTTGCAAATTCTGCATAGGATTGATTAGTCTAATAACTTTTGTATATGTATTCACCATCAAATTTTTGTCGGCTACAGCTTAATTCTAGTTAACTTTTAACTATAGAGTAAAAGCATAATTTAGCCTTATATTCTAGAACTTCCGACAAATATACATGTGGGTTGCATTAGTTAGCTCTCCAAGACTTGAGCCAAGGGGAAGTTTGTTAGTTAACTTCATCTTGGATTAACTCCAGTTGGTATTAACCATGGTTAGAGAAGTTAACTTTGATTATGTTAGCTAAGATGTGCACCTTATCTCTTCTTGTATAGAAGAGATTATGAGCTCTTCATCAAAGATAGTTCAAAGTTGCACTTTGATAGTGAGAATGAATTAGGAGAGTTTGGTTATGGAGGTCGTGTATACACTTATGCTTTAGTGAAATTTCTACTCTTGTCCGTGGACGTAAATTGTGGAAGGTGAACCACGTTATCTCAATGTTGTGACTATCATGCGTGCTAATTGATCTTGATGGTTAGACCTTTCACATGTTTCATAAGAAACTAACATTACCAGATTTTCTTTGAACAATCAAAAAAAATTGATTGATTTTTTTTTAAATGAATGTCATCAGAATATTATCTTAATTAATCCTTCTATAGTCAAGGAGGTTGAATGACCATTATAATATATGTGTTTTACATAAGAGACCTCACTAATGAAATATAAGAACTATATGCTCAAGTAGAGAACTCTCGTGGATTCATGATGTATCCATGTGTAATGTCCATGTGGAATCCACTTGCTTTTGACAGAAGTTTTTATGTTTGATTTAAATCACAAAATTTTTATAGATTACTTTTTCATACTTGCAAAGAATGTAAAATTGTCATCAGATGATTGTTAATTAAATCTACTAAGACCAAATCATAACAGAAAACTCTATTCAAAACTTTCAATGGCATCTTTGTTTTTCAATTTAATCTTAAATTATTGAATATTATTATAGAATATTTTGAAGTTATTTTTCTAATAAACATACGTATATCTTACCAAAAGATTATGATACCCCTTGAATCGTGAGTGTATCGTACAATTCTTCAAGAAGCAAAATTTTCGTATGGTTTATAACATGTGCCAGTTTTGAACTAAAAAATAATTGAAAGTGATCTTATTTAAAAAAAGAAAAAAGTAACAGAGATTGCCTAATGTTTACTCGTCAATAATATACAAAGGAAGGTTCTGCAAGGTTCAGGAAATGCGGGTCTCAGAATTGCGTATTCCGTCCAGAGACGTCCCGATCGGTCCGGAAAGGAGGAGGATGCCGGTGCTGGCCAGCCAGTCAGCCAGCCAGAGACTGCGTGCGCCGCGAACTCCTCCCGACCATCCGACTGGGCAGCCCGCCGGCGCTTACTCCCAAACTTGAACAAGCGTGCGTCGTAATCGCGAAGCTGGCGCATTCAAGGCTGGCGCCGGCGCAAGGTCGGAGCCATGCCGCCGCGAAAGGTTGGTGCGAACCGGAAATCCGTTGTGCCTCCAGGAATAGGGAGGGCACAGGTCACAGTAGAATAACGGAACGGATGGATGGACGAACCCCTCGAGTCGTGCCCGGGTGACATGGATGGTCACCCACACTGCTGCTATGGGCGGTACTCGGGACGTCGAGACACCGAGCAAACTTGGCTCGGCGCAATCGGCGCAATGGCGCCTGCCCTTGACGTGCTTCCTGTTCGTTCTTGGGAACGCCGTTCAAGTGAATCACTCCCCTTCCCTCCAGAGCCAACCATTTTGCATCAAATGTGCACCCAGACCAGACCAAAACCATCAGCAGCGTCATAAGCCCACCCATAGCATTACCTGTGCCCGACCATGCCTACCCATGCTACTCAAATTACGCAAATTCTTCGTTGGATCTTGACAAACACTGCCCTTAGCATTACTTGTGCCCACCCATGGAAAAATAATGTCACCCAAAACCCACCCATAACCCATGGGTATGGGCACCCAATGTCGGGCTCTGCTTCCCTCCCCTCCAAGGCGATAAGGACCAGGCGCCAAGAGGGTCGATTTCTCTCTCTCTTCTACCATGCCCCTTTTACGGTGTGAGGCTTGTGTTAACCACGTAGAATGACGAATGAAGGGACGCATGGAATTTCGAACACCATGGGAAACAATCTGCCACGATCACAAGCCCAACCCAAGGGCCACAAGAAATGGGAAGAGCTAATCTTTCTCCAGATAAAGCGTTGTATTATAGTTTCAAACTCTAATGCCTACACAATACTCATGAATGTGGGGTTAACCATGGGTGCAAGGTTATTGTCACCACTCAAAGCAATATGGGTTTAGGGTTTTAGGTTAGGGCTCAATTGGACAGCCTAGAGCACAATGTGATGCTATGCATATGAATATCAAATAAAAAATGTCTGAAATTACAATGTAATGAAGATGTGTAACACGTATACTTTGTACTGGCTTATATTGGTATGTCTAAAATGAAAACCAAGTATATAGCAAAATGGATGGGAGGATCCTACCAAGGCCCAACGTGATGAACCTACCTGGTAGGTAGCATGGTTTTGGCGCTAGTAGTATGAAATTGGGACATGTGTATTTCTGCCTCTAGTAGATTCAAACTATATAGATGTAATTACATACATATTATTGATGCTAAAAAATGATCACACATGATGCTTAGTCTCTTATGATTGTATTAGCTAGTACTCTCTTTACAGTATTGGATACACCTGCCTTTGATAAATTACATATTTTTATTACTATTATTTTTTTTAAAAATTCCTATCTATAAAGTAAGCTCTTGTACAGTCTATCAAGAACATGTATATTTCAACATCCATGTCTCCAAGCTACAACAAGAAAAACGTGATCTCTCGAACATCTATATATTTGGAAACCATATCTCCATACATATCTATTCATTTTTTTACCTTATCGCGTACATCCATCTAAAGGTCGGATAATCACTATAAAATTACATCACATATAGATTATGGAACCAGATCTTCAATCGATCTTATTTCATTGCAAGGCATTCTAGATATTCGTAGCTTGAGTTAGCTCAAAAGCATTATTCAAGCCAAGATTCACTTGTTTGAAACTTGTTGGGGCAAAAGCGTAGAAAAATCATATCTAGTTACCGTGGTGTAAGTTGGAACTTTGGTGCATCAATGTATACTTCACTCCTCTACTCCAATTAGTGGGCATACAAGAGACAAAACATCTCAAGTATGCTATTAACATTTCAAGTAAGAACACATCTATGCTATGATATGAGAACACTAGGAAGGAAATTCTCTTCATACGTCTAGTGTATATTTCAGTGAAGCACGAAATCAAACAGAGAACAAATGTGCATAAAGCACCCAATGGACCAAACACTCTCGATGAATGCATCCTTTTAAGAATAGTCGACCACCAAAACAATAACCTAATACTCTGAACTAAGGGTACACCATTGGGTCATTGACGACCGCATCCAGAGTGACCTAGTCCTCTCATATATGTACGGAGTTGGTCGGGGTGGTACTAGATGTACCGTTTGTGAACATCAACAAGACCCTGATCCTGGTGAGACACCTAAAGATTTGCTCAAGCAATGATGATGCGAGATGCAAGAATAAACCATTTTTCTCTCCAAAAGCATGTCCAATATCCACCGACCCGGGCAATTGGAGGTCACATGACATCATATGACCTCCAACACGGCCTCGTGCTGTACGTGAACCAGATGAATCTTTATCTTGACCATTGTAAATGAGCATGCTACCAAAAAAAAGGCTGATCTTAACTTTTGTGACGACATTGGCAATAATAGGTGAAAATCTCCGGTGAATTGGTGAGATCAGACGTTTGAATTGGGCATGTTACTCCGAGATATACGTATCATCAAAGGCAGTCATGCTATTCTAGCAACAGCGCAAGACAAGGCAACATAATTTAAAAGATCATCAAATAACAGGCAAAATATAAAACCTTGAAATGCATTGGAAAGAACTCAGGTTGAAATATTCACAACTAAATCCCTTTGTGAATCGGGTTGCATTCCCATGTTTAGTCTTCTGTACATTCAAGTCCTACTTGACTTTGTTGCTACACATTAACTGGTTCATCCTTTCACCCTAAAGAAAGGAGACATTGTACAAGTCCGTTGGCGGGCTATCGATAGAACTTCCGTCTTTCATACTGACTTCTCTGCAGCTAAAAACTAAATGAACTATTTCTGGGAACCTGCCTGGAGGTCTCTTGTGACCAGTACACATTCTTAAAAGGCTTTGCACTAAAAGCAATCCGTGTCATTACTGAGGTTCTAGATGTGACCAGTAAGCTACAGAGTCTGGTTTCAAATGTACAGCCCTTTGTATCCACCCCCGAACAGTCCACGACGGTTCTGTAGCGCCGGCCGGGCCCAAGAAGGTAACTTGGGCTTTCCTCGCTAACAATCCCATCTGAAAGTACAACTCTGCAGGCCTGCATTCTGCATCACAAACAAGAAGCAAAAACCAAAAGTTAAGAGCACATTTCTCACCACAGAATTGCATGACGCTCCATCGATTGAGGTGATAGACTTGCCTGCAGGCCAAGCTTCCCACTCTGACCACAACTTGCGTTCCCACTTTGAGAGGTCATTACTCTTGGAGAGACCTTTCGCATTTTGCGATTGGCACAGCATTGTACAGGCAAACGGTAGAGCACTGGGTTTCGAGTAGTTCATGGCCTTTGTCAAGCTTCTGACTGCAGAAGATAGCATCTCAACATTTGTTCCCGAGGACACCAGTATAGCGCACAATGTACCTGAAGCAGACGGCAGATTAAAACTGGTCATGCATCTGTGCAAATAATCAACAATGCCCGAAGTGAACCAAGATATTGAGCAATTTGTTTGTACCATGTAAAAGGTGAAGAACAGAATTATCTGTTGCCTGAGATAATGCTTCCGCTGCTACCCTTTGGGCGGACATAAAGTCGCCAGCTTGAACGAGCCCCTTTACACGAACAAGGTCCAGAAGTCCGAACCATTCTTTCTGCTCATCGAGGCACCTCCTCAAAATTGCTTCACGACAAGCTACAATAGAAGAATTTAATTCCTGGAATTTGCACCGCTGTTGCAACTCGATAACCGTGAACCACCCCGGAATGTCATCTGCACTAAGCAGACGTCGAGCGTTGCTCAGCTCTTCTAAGCAGCGGTAGTCTTGTTTGAAAGCACACACGCGAGCCAGCTGCAGTGCGGCTATTTCTGATACACTAGAAAAATATCTGAGCTGTGAGACTATTTCTTCTAGTTGATTATCTGAAGTGTTATCTGCGAGACGCATTGTACATTCAGATATAATCACGAGTAGTACAACGTGCAAACGTCTATCAAAGCTCCGATCGCCATTTTTCGTTGGCAATGAAGAAACTGTTGTTGCTGCGAGACGTCGTATAGCTTGACAAAGGTTGGCCGGAAAATTTTGAGCCTTTGCTTGCTGCATTAAATTGAGAACTAAGAGATAATGAGCCTCCACATTCCATGGTTCTTTGTGAGCCCATCTGCAAAATTAAAGAGGAAATTACAAATCAGCTTCAGAAGTTTTACCACTGACAAAAACCTTGGATATTTACGATACTAGTGATGTTTCCACCACTTACTAGTGAAAGTACAGAGCTAAAGAAATGCCAACGTAAAGAGCTCATCTGATACCTTTGCAGCTGGCGAATCAAAGAACTCGCAGGCGAAACTTGTCCTTTACACGGGGAAAAATTGCAGGACTCCAGTTGTCCACAATGAGCACATGCACAAGCTGCGGCAGCTAGGGCACTACAAAGATCTCCATAATTTGCGTTCCTCTGAACAAACGTGTAAGAAATCTGGCAGCATCTAGGTACGAGATCGGCCTTCTTCCCAAGGCTGCTCTCCAGTATCAACTCCCCCAGCCTAGCACTGATGACAGACAAAAAAATATCTTCCATCACTCACAGTAAAAAAACGTTGAGAATCTGAACTACCTAATCATTTTAGATAAAGTGCTAGTTATTCTTTTCATCTCCATATTGAAATGAAGAGCATTTCATATATATGAGAAACATTTGATTTGGGTTTAGAAGTTACCGCAGGTAAACACTCTGAGGAAATAAGTGCAATGTCTTCTGGAGAACCTGTATAGCAGCTATCAAATTCCGCTCGCCTGATATCTGTAAAAGGGTTATGAATATCAACAACAGAATAAATATCAAATTGTCCTGCCTGTACTTAACCAAAAAGGAGACACAGGAAAGAGCTTCAACACACAACAGAATCTAACTATATACTGATATCCCTCCAAATCTAACAGTTTCTACACATTGCGAATTTTCCACCATCGCTTCCATTTCCGTCCCCAGCATTATCCTGCTATGTTTGATCGAAACTGTCACCTTCTCGTGAAAAGTCTTGGTGATTACTTTATAACCTCATGAGAAGAGTTCCTGTTATATTTCTCTCCCCTCAAAAAACAAGTTCCTTGAAGGCCAATGGACATCCCACGCGTGAGGTATTGTTCCAGCCCAAGCACACGAGGCTTCATCGCTTCAGCATATACTCCAAGCTGCTGAAGCTGCCATCTTACATTTCCAAATCCCACACCACACAGCTAATGAAAGTTTTAATCTCCAAGGGGGTAATATCATGCATCCTTCTAACACGATAAAAAGGCTATATCTCATTTTGACTTGTACTCAAACTCCATAGATAAAGAACTGTGCGCATAAGATGGAGAGAAACAAGACCTGCTTAGAAGCGGCAGCGAGCAGATGAGCTTGTATAAGACCTTCGTGTCCAAGAGAATCTTTACATGAATTTATAAGGCTGTACAATGTCTTTTCATTTCCAGACAACGCAGCTATGGCAAGAGCACTTAAGCAGAACTTCGTGTCTGAAAACATTTCAACTGGAGCCGTTTGCATTTCAGCTAAAGCGGGTGAGCAGCCTGAGTTTGAGTAAATCATCTTCACGAGAAGAGCTTGACCACCTATAATGCTTGCTGCATCCATTTCTACTTCCATCGACTTCCTGGCCATAACGACTGCCTTCTCCTTGTTCCCAACTTGCCACAAGGCGACAGAATAACCGCGAAGCGCTCCAGAATCGTCTCTTAAGAGCCCTGTTCATTTGCCATATAACATGGTAAGTTAATATCCGGCTCGTAACTTGTATTAGGGCTCCAACTGATCGTCCACAAGAAGAGCAGTTGATCGGGAATTCTCAACAGTATGACATAAGATCGAATGACTAAGAGCGACATGTAACTTGATAAATGAAATTCTATTGGCGAACTGCAAACGACGTAGCTGTGCACATACCCAGCTCTCCCAGCACCTCGTACTCCTGTATAGCAGCGACAAACGCACCTGCCTGAGAAAAAGAGAACAAATAATGAGCAATAAAGCACTTGAACACTTGTTAGTTAACTGCCCTTGAAATACAAGCTCGTAATCTCCAGCACAAGACAGTCATATATACATAGAAAGCGAGACCCGTTATAAGTTTTCAGCACTGGGCTTTAACAGAGCATTCACAAAGACAAGTATTTCTATACATCTGATAGCTAAGAAAAGTAAATACTGCGAGAATGCAAACCTTGCAAAGCGCTCTGGCAAGGTTTGTACAAACTGCCAGGTTTTTCTGCGAAGAAGGGCCGCTCTTAGTATCGGTTGAGAAAGTAACCAAACAACGTGCCCGGCGAAAAGCCTTTATCGCACCTTCGTAGTCTCCTCTTGACTCACAAGCAAGTCCTTTCAAATTGTGAGCTTCCGCTCTATGTGGTGCATGATGAACTGCTTGCTGCAAAGCTGCATACACCTACAGAATACCTTACGAATTAGGGTTGTAGAACTTCTAGATTAAGCCTAACAATTGCCATATAGTTTACAAATGCTTCTGCAATGCTCCGTACGAATTACAAGCAAGAGCACATGGACAAGCAGCCTTACTTCCACAGCTTGAAGTTGTTGCGCATGAGCGGCTAGTTTTCCGAGACCTAGCTGCACCTCTGTTGTCTGTTACCCAAACAAATGAAAACCTCATGAGCTTAAGATTAAAAAGCAAACATTTTCCAGCCGGCATCTACTTTTTGTCTAAACGCCAATTGTAGACAACACTGCTTCGATACCATCGTATAACATCCTGAATGAAAAATCACGCGAAGTAGGCGGAATTGACGCAACATCCATTGACTGCCGGTGTAGTTTCCACGATTCTTACAGCTTCAATGGGAGGAGAACTCACCGGTGAAAGCTGAACCGCATACATGCAGCTCGCATAAGCTTCTTGTAGATCTTTGGTACTGCCATGAAGTGGATCCAAACAATCAGTAAACACAGACCACTGCAAGGAGGCAATACATGTAGCAGGGTCACTAGGCTAAAAAACCTCATTCTGGTATTAAACTGTCCACATCCGTCTGCTTTGGTCATCGAAGTCACCACACGAGTGGTATGTTGGTATTCATGTGTTCCAAACAAAACTGGACCCATAACAAAAACTGACGGATCTCAATGGATCGAAAATAGAGCACCAAGCAACGATCCTCGTTGTAAGATCGGGGTCTCACGTTTCAGCAAGACTATGAAAATATGCCATTCCTGCCCACGGAAGGGGAAGAGTAGGATTCGCACTTCTCGCTCGGTCGAAAGCTTCCCTTGCCAAAGCTTCTTGACCTTCTCTAAGGTACAGCTGCACTAGAGTCAAAACGATATCAGAATGTTGCGTAGTATCCTTAAGACATCGTGAACATAATGACAAAGCATAATTTTCTGAAAAAGTTTCCAAAAGTTTCATAAACCTTTCAGAAGATACCTGTCCAAGACCACCCCACGCGAGGGCATGATTTCCATTTATTCGTAATGCTTGGATGAAGGAGTGCTGACGAAGTCCCTTATGTTTAGTCAGCATACCCAGAGTCACCCACAGATCTGGGTTATCCCCATCCACACGTAGTCCTCCACATATGGCCGTCACAGCGGGCATCCTAAGCAAGACAGATATTCAGTCATCACGCTATTTTTAGATGGGCGAAGAAGAAGACAGAAGTTAAGTCTTCCTTTGCATCAAGTCCACAAAGACTAACCAAGAAGAGTTGCTGCTGGAGTTTTCATGCTCAAGTGATGAGATAAGATCGAGAGCCAGGCCTAGGTCGGAATATAGGCTGCTTTGAGAGGGACTCAGGTGCAGCGCACGTTGGTAAAAAACCCTTGCTCTTTTCAAAGAGGCTATTCGCTTTTTGTACCACAAATCGATAGCTGATTGTATAGTCATGCGTACTGACGCTTCTTGCGTGGAGACGCTCATTGAGTCCAGTTCCTCGCAAGGCAATGCCTGAGCATATGTTACCTGAATCAGGTAATTTGAGAAGTAACGTCAGATATTGTTGAAAATTACCCCCACGTACTTCTCATCCTACGTGAAAGATAAGTAACTTGGTCACGAAATCTAATTGAGAGTCTGGTATTGAGCTTCTGACTCCATCAACCAAAAGTCTCCAGAGAGACCAGCGGAGAGACGGAAAACTGACATCTCTTCAGTACGATACCTTAAAGATGGTAACCCACAACAAACTGTATTTATTGCTTGCCTAAAATATTCTAACAACATAACTCAAAAGTTGATGATTAAACTATAGTTAGAAACAAAATGTAGAAAAAACGGATAGTAACAGTTTAGGCGCGAAAAGCAGTATACAAGATTTAGCGAGCTCAAGACTAAGATATCGAGGCAATGACTGCAACTCCTTCAGAGTTGTAAATCTTTTGTACAAGTTTCGATAATGGTCTCATATGATAACATATCTATAAGAGGAAATGACAAATAAGTGTTCATTTAAAGTCGAAGTGTTTAGAAATAAAGTGTGGAGTCAAACAAGAAAGTGATTTACCTCTAAATCTCCCAGAAGTTTCCAAAACGCTCCAATATTGCTACAGCAGGGAATAGACAACCGTAGAAGTTCAAGAGCATCCTGTTTTGACACCAAGAGTAATCCATTAAGTCCACAAGTTGAAATTTCCTAGTGGTTTGTGCTTCGTTGTACAGACGTAAGGTGAATCTTGGTATTGTCCTCACAGCAATTTCCTCTTGTAATGCCCACCTTCCCTAACGAAGCGCTCCAGGCGAAGGCACCGATGCTCATACATTTACGAGCGCACCCTAAAATTGCTGCCGCAAGGCCACAAAGAGCACCTACGTGACCGGAATCTTGTTGTAAGGCTTCCCGAAAGGCATCAGTCGCCTGCAGTGTGCCAACATCAAAATCGTTAACAGCACGTACTTCTTACCACATAGCTGAAACTAGACTTTTAGACTAATTGTACACGCCCTACACTAGTGCGAAAACGCAATATCGTTTTTCGCACTCGTGCGAAAAGGACTTGTGCGGGAAATGAAAACATTGAGAATATGCAGCAGACAATCGACAACATTGCGAGCCTTCATATAACAGCCAAAAGACTGAGCAGTAAAGGTTCGATTTGTTGGAGAGCGTGATTGATACAGAACTACAAGTTTATGGTAAGTCACCTGACCTTTTCATACGACCCAAGCAACAGAAGAATGTTGCCCGTTTGCAACAAAGCGAAGAGAGAAGGAATATCCCCAAGGCTAGTTGCACGTCCATAAGCCTGTTTGATTTGTTCAAATTCTGACAGTGTGAGAATGCAAAGCATGCAACGAACTGCATACATTACAGAAGTATTGCACCTCGAATTCTACTTGAAGAAATTTTTTTAATGAAGAAATAACTAGTCAATTAGTCAACAATCGTCAGTAGAGAGCAAAAATTGGCTAGAATCTATAAAAGTAAATTTGTTAAAAAATGTCCAAAAACATTCAGACCATTACAAGAATCAAAAGCTTAGGACAAACTATGGCTGATGAGGATATCTCTTAAGCATAAAATCTCCAAGCAGACCTTCAAAGCGGCAGTGAGCATTCCAAGATGTTGATACGCCAATCCAAGAGCCTAAGATAGACCAAGCGACAGTCAATATAATTGTGAAGAAAATCCCAGCAAGTCAAGGGCTGCTAAATCATGATTACACAATATCCATCCTGTAAACCACACTTAACTAACCAAAATCAAGGCAAGATGGAAACATCCTAAGAAAATAAGAAGATATGGATAGCACAAGATTGAAAGCATGACGAATTATTAGAGTGTTGCACTAATCAAAGAGATGCTCCAAGATGTGATTCACCTCCCACAAGTCGCCATCTGTGACGTAGCCTCGAAGAGCGTGCTGCAAATTTGGAACAGCCTCTGACCATTCTTTGTGAAATACCTGTAGTGATGTCTTCTGATTAGAGGCTTTACATTTTATGCCTAATCTGCTTGATGCCAGCTTGTTTTTCCAGATGTTAAACTAAGAGGAATATAACTTAGCGGCTTCCAAATCTTCATAAACGCAAATGCAGGATACTGAACTAAAGAGTCCGGTTTACAATCTGCTATACCAAATACACTATCCACCCCAGAAGACTGGAACTACAGAGATATTTAATTACAAATAAAATATGCTCCTGTAGTTGATTACTTGAAAGCAAAAGGCGTTTCAAAAGAAGGTATGTAGAAACTCAGTCCTGGACGATATCCATGAGTTCAATGCACAGCACAAGAGAAAGCTTATAAGAGCAACGAGCAATATAAATTAAAAGAAGCGAGACCAAGTACAAGTACTCATTACTGGCCATGAGGGGGGCTATGAATGATATTAGAAGAGTTACAGGATACTGGAGGGATAGTGAAAGCTGCAGGTCTCACGACAATTAACGTGAATGAAAGACGAAAGTAAGAGGTGAAAACTCAAGACAACGCAGGAAGATGTGAGCAAAAGCATCTCATCAAGAAGTCAACGAGCTTAGGACAACCGAAATCGTGTGTGAAAGAAACTGGAGGCGATATAGTCCAACAGAGCCCAAGTCCAAGTGGATGAACGGGCAACATTATGTGATTGTTAATCTCGGAGTTAGCAGTAAGATTGTCATTGTAAAACTATACGTAAATTACTTACCATAGGTAACTACTAATTTACTTTAGGCTTACGTTGGTCTCAATTTAAGTGTGGGGAGTGCAATCTAGAGTCTGATCTTAAATTGCTGAGGGAAAGGATGAGTGGTAACAAGCTATGGCTAATCAAGGAGAGCTGATAGAACCATCAGGCACTGCTGATGGTACATCTGGAAGAAATCTTAATCAACTGCTGCCACAGGGTTCAGATGATCGAAACAACATTAACGGTGGGGACATCTCAAACATCTACGACAACAAACCAATAACGCAACGCAGAACGGAGGCAGTGGATCTGAAGTGGGAAACAAAAAGTACCCGGAGGACACGGAGGGAGGGAGGTGCTAGTGTAGATACAATCCACACGTATAGAATACAACTCCAAAAGAAAGTGAGCGTAAACAATCTGATCCCGCTGTTTCCAGTAACTCATCAGCAAACGAAAGTCCCTCTCGTCCATGAGCAAGAGTGTAGACCTCAGGTTACAGTTGGAAGTCGTCTTGTGAGGTTTCGGTCCAACGGATGAGGCCGCATTTCTTCGTAAGCACGAACAAATACCATCTTTTCAGCTGGCTGGAATAACAAGAAACCCTAATTACTAACGCCGAGAGCAAGAGCTCACAGTAACAGTGTCAAAAGACCCCGATGGTGCGAATAACCGCAAGAATGACTTCGAGCGGAAAAAAACCCTAACAAAAACCAGACAGTAAGTAGCTTACTCAACAAGCAGGTGTACGTCTCTTCAGGTCCTTTCGTGAAGCCAAAGAAAGTATCCTTCGGACCCATAGGCACGGAGTACGCGGGGAGCGGGAGAAGGCCCCAAGGGGCACCACGACCAGCAGGAGAGAGCTTGTATACTGAAGGCACGTAGGATTTGTTTAATATACAGTGTAGATTTCAATTTTCACCGCGTATGCTTGAACTTAGGATGCTTAGAATAAAACCTGCAAAAGACCGAGACGGCGCCATGCCCAAAATGCGCGACGCGATTTTTGTGAAGCTCCTCTGCATATATCTACTTCCAACACTTCCTGACCCCCACAATCCAGCAGATCACACAGTGCCTCCTGCATTACGAGAGGAGAAATTCAGAAACCCCAAATAGACCACCTGCAGATGCTTATGCAGATGATTGATAGTTTTTTCCCATTCTCTTTTGGATTCCTGCAGTAATTGTTGAGTGACTTTCTTCGCTGACTTCACAAGCTTTAGGCCACCTTTAATAAACAAAACAACGAACTCCAGAACACAATTCCAACGGCAAACTGAATGGTAAGAAGCGAGAAGAAGATAAGATGAAGATGAAGCAGTCTGATAAGTGCGAATTGTGGTCTATCATTTCATCCGGAAACATATACTCCAGTAAAAGCCATGCATGTGAGTCCCTCTGCTTAAAGACAGCCTGTGAGCGTGCGAAATTGATGACTCACTACATATTAGTTATCACAGACGTTTGAACTGAGTACAGACTATACCCCTGCTTCTTCATCTTCGAGATTCAAGTTAACTGCCTTTTGATAGCAGCGGATAGCCCTTTGCGTATCTCCGGCAAGCCTGTTGTAACAATGACCCAATTGCCGAAAGAATTCGGATTGAGTGGGATCCAACTTTACAGCTTCCAAAAGCTGTGATAAAACTTTGTCCTTTAACTCTGACATCAACCCACCTGCTTTCCAATACAAAAGGCCCTGCAAGTCGTAAGCAATTAGAACTAAAGTGCTATACATTGACAAGCTCACTCTCTGTAAGTTTAAGAAAGTAACTCTCTGTAAATCACTAGCATCCGTTGATACAAGCCAAACAGCCACACCACATAAGGCAGAGTAGGAGCACACCAGCCGGTAGTGATAGCTAGCCATACTAGGCTGGAGAGCAACAGCCTGCTCTAAGTATAGCAAAGCTTTCTTCCAATTCTCCTGCTGATATGCCAACCAGCCTTGCTCTGCAAGTGCCCAATGACTGTCAGGGTTCAACGCCAGCACCACATTCAGCCTTGCACACGCTAACTCCACATCGCCTCGCGCAAGTGCAACTTTGGCAAGTCCCTATTATCGAGAAGAAATATATAAACATTAAGAATTTTTTAAAAAACATCCCCAAAGTACGTCTTCACAAAAAGTCAACCTGACTACATGCCTGCCTGACCTGAAAAGTACAAATGCCTCCCTACAGAACAGTCCATATCCGAACCCAAAAAGTTGTCGAAATGCTATCAGAATAAGCACCTCATTGGCGGCAGCAACCAGTAAACAACCTTCTTTGGCAGTTGTTTCCTTGACCTCCTGCAAGAAGACATTTTAAAGTTTCTTAAGAGTAGGTTGAGGTTTGATGTTAATATTAACTCTTAAATACATATCAAAGTAGACAATATCTAGAGAACCATTTGAGTTACCTCGGCCACATGACGAAAGGCCCTTTCCGCTTCACTGAGATCTTGAGTTGCAAGATGTGTTTGACCAAGCGTTAGTTGAAACTTTGCCTCGACAATAACTAAACTCAACCCATAATTCATGCGGGACCTGCAAACTGCGTGCAGTCCACGTCTGACGCATTCAGCTGCGCTTGAGTAAGAACTCTGTTGGACGTGGACGTTTGCCAAAACCTGCCACCTGCAATTGGAGTATTATCCTCAAGTCAACTCTTCTCAAAGTGATGGCCTTTGTTCCGAAGTGGGGATTTAAAAATAGAAATATGAAGGACAGAGTCTACGACAAGTCTGGCAGACTACCAACGGTGCAGTGACGGTTTGTAACATACCCAGTTACACAATTGTCATCGAGTCGTAATGCCTTTTCACAGATTATCCTCTTTCGCTCCAAACTAAATGCACGCACAACGACTCAGTCAATGAGGAGAGCTGTAAGAAGAAGATGTAACAGCATTCAAGTACAACAAGTGTGACAAACCCAACACACTGACAAGATAGATTCATCTAACTGAAAGAACTCATTGATTGTTTCTCATGTAACGTGCTAATCAATCTCTAAACTTGAGAACTCGGTTATGCTCGAGAAGACTTCTCTCGGTGGACAGGTATGTCATAGAAAGAATGATGAAGCTCGCTTTATTGCGGCCTAAATATGCAAAGCTGCGCTTACAGACAATTGCCTGTCGTAGCCTGGAGACCACAGACTCTGCGCCATGGCTGAGAAGTGCTAGTGGTAACAAACTGAAAGGAAAATGAAAGATGGGGCCCAAGACACTGGCCGAAGGGGGAGAACAGGCGGAAGAGTGTAGAGGATCTATCCAACGTTGAAGTTTCTCCCTTTCGTAAAGGTTCGTTTGATGCATCTAGGAGTCGTTGACTCCTGGATGTATCAGAATAGGCTCAATGACACTTTGACTACGTACTCCACCTGTGAAGTTTTCCGGACTGTAAAGATTTGTTTCCAATAAGCAGCAACTTTGGGCATTGAATAAAGGCTCGAACAGTCTGAGCCTCAACTTGTAAGAACTTCAAATCCATGAGAGACACAATTTCGCAGCTTTGAATACACTATGAGCCAGTAGATTTTACAGGCCGGAAGAAATTTGATTTCAAAGAGCAGCAGCTTACCATACAGAGCCTTATCATGTAAAGATGATAAGTATATATGGAAGACGAATAAGCAGCTTTGAACACTCTGAACGCAAGATACAGTGGAAATAGAGGCGCGACTTGAGAAGGTATGTGATGGGGTACTTTTCACGTACTTTTCGCTTTTTACTCTCAGTGTAAGCTTAAATTCTCCATTTCCATTATTAAGTTCCGTATATCTCGTGGTACACTTTAAAACTTTTGTCTATATAACATTATGAGAAGATGTTGAGAACGAGATCCTGTTCTAAAACTCACGCTACAAGGGCTCAATCTAATTTGTTGCTTGTTGTGAGCAGCAACAATAAACAACGTGCAAATACATACAGCCTTTACCACGAATCCCTAAGTCTTCATAGATTACTTGCAAATTAAAGATAAGTGACATTGCTGTCGAACATGCATACCCCTCGTACCTTGAACCATTAGAGGAGTTGTAATGCATCGCAAAGCCAAGAGCAGACAAAGCGATACCATGCCCTGGGTAAGTATGGGCAAAACACCTCCCGAGCCATACGAGAGGTGGCTCGACATTGTGCTTGGAAATTTGCTGAGCGTAACCAAGTTCTTCAAACAGGTCCTTACTATCGTCATCCTCCAGAAGTTTACAAGCTACTTCGAACGCGGTCATATTGATGCAAGACGATATCATACTCATACACTGGCGTAAAGTTTGCAACTTTGCCGTTCTCCGAATATCCCCTTCTGCACAGGCAAAGTAATGAACGATTTAAAACTATTGTCGCGAATTTAGAATCACCAAGACACATCATGCATCAAGAGATGCGGCAATACCTGCAGAATGACGAGCTGCACGCATGCGACGCACTAATAGACGTAGAAGCATCTCATGGTGGCGCTCCAAGTGTGGGCCTACTTCTGAAGTAGTCCTGCGCAAGAGTTCCTCCACTTCCTTGCTCAACTCACGGTCAATATACTCCTCTTCCACAAAAAGTAACAGGTCTTCGTCGCAAGATGAATTCATGCAATACGTGGAAGGATGTTCCTGAGAGCTTCTTAAGGAACTACTGGCCCTCTCACTTTGAGAGAGACGTTTCTTGTACTCCTCTTGTATGGACCTCTCGAGCAGAGCTGACTTAGCGTCCGATATGCCACAAACTGCTTCAAAGCGAACTGATTCTGGAGTGGAAGAACTATCGATTAATTCCTGCCAGATTACGCAAGCTTTCTTGAAGTTCGATTGTGCTAGGTGGGCGTTGGCAAGCTTTTGAGTATATTCAACGTAACGCTCCATTTTTCCCAGCACCTGTGTACGCTCCCTAATGGCCTCGCATGCCTCCACGAGCTCATTGATGTTCGCTGTCGATTCATAAATCTCCACGAGACGCTGCTCAAATAAAAGACGGGCACAACGAACATGCAAGAGTCCAATTTGCTGAACACAATTAGCAATCTCCCTGGAGTAGTGCAGGAGCCGGGTACAGAGATCCATGGCTGCAGCACCAAGGACAATGCAACAGAGCTCAACTGCATTGGCATGAAATCAAGAATTATTTTGACTCCTACGTAAAAACATATCGAGAAAGAGAGATAAACCCAGAAACAAAAATTAGTTTGAAAACAAACTTCCACTCGGGCAGTTCGTATGCATCATCAGCGGAGCGAGAAAAGCTCGCCCAAGTTGTGGCACCCTAAAATCCTTCTTCCTCACATTCGCTTCAAGCCATTCAAATAATTACGTCAAATATTTTTTATGACCGACTCGTACCTGCCAAGCAGCCATTTTCGAATTATTAACACCAATTGCAAGGCGAAAGGCCTTCTCCGCCTGCCCATGCTGCTTCAGCTGCAAAAGCGCAGATCCTAAGAGCACATACCCGTCATAATTATTACGATCCTGTTTGAGAATCACTTTGCACTGCTTTACGACTTCCTGATATTGACCCTTCACCAACGCATCCTGCGCAACTCGCAGCGCAGCGGAGATTGGGACCTTTTCATCCCCCATCGATCCTTCTCGGCCTACAGCCAGCTTCATTCAACCCCGCGCGACCCTTCCTGTGCCTTCCTTCTCAGACTGCTCATATGTGCCTCCACTCTCCCTCCTCCCTCGCTGGAGCTCCTCCCCCTGTTCCTCGGTCGTTTCGTTATCCAGCCGTATTCTTCCGTTCTTCGACTGGCACCCTCCTCGTCCTCGCCTTCCTCCAGGTGCCAGACTCGATCATCGAGCCTGCCTCGAACATGCTTGCTCACATTACTATCGCTCTCGTCTTCTTTCCTCGCTCATGTCAGAGTTCGTCTGCCTGCTCCGTCCCGCGCCTTGCTTGTTCCTTCCGTCACTCGACACGGGGACGGGAGCGAAGAAATACCAACACAGGATCGAAAGAATTCCTCAAACCTTAAGAAAATTCCGCCTTTATTCCCTGCTGGTTATTATTATCAAGAAGAGATCAACTTTTGCAGTTTTCACAACCGGGCACTTTACTCATCCTCTAGGTCGGAAGTTCAGACCTCTTTGGTATACGTGAGATGTTGTGGATATTTGGGTTATATCGATCACATGTACATTTGATTATGAAATAAAATTTCACCATCTGAAATACCAAGTCAACATTGCACTTTTATTCTTTCTCGATACATCTACAGACAAAATTGAAGAGTTTAGTATATGTCAATGACATTCTTTTTCAAAGTTTCAAACAATGAACACTACATCTGCTATTTAAAACGACGATGATTTGGATCTAGGTGTTGGGAGTTGTCCCGACTTGTATGTGGATAATGATATCACACAAAGAGCATGAGAATATACATGAGTAGTTCACAAATTGCATTTAGAAACAATTGTAAGTAACATCGGATATAGTTAATATCACTTACCCGTATACAATTATCTTCAAAGTGATATAAAATCCATAAAAAATGTTAAATCGAAATAAATATAACAAATGTATATCATAAATCATTGGGAATTATTAAAAAGATCATGTTGTAACGTATGCGTATCTCAAGTTAGTTATAATTCGATAATAATAAAGTCATTCTAAATATATTATCTACTCATTCAACAAGATATGTACTTTTCTCTTGACTCCTAATCATGCTTTGTAGTTGATAAAATACAGGATAAAATACTTCTTGCAAAATTATCATCATCATAATGCCTTGAGATTAATCCAACTGTGGATTTTTCATACCACCATCATATGTACCACATTTGTAATGAATAATTGTATCATTGTCATGTCAAAAATCATAATTGATGATATAAAGTTTCGTTGCAAAAGTGTACACAGTTTTAAAAAAGTTTGTCAATTATTAATCATTTTTTTAAATCCCCTTGCAATCATTATAATATTATAAAAATAGACTATACAATTATCAAAACTGACTATTATTCAATTTTTGAATGGGTGATGAATGTAGCAACATTTGCCATGTTCTTAGTCATATAGGTTGCGTTTGAAAATTTTCTTTTAAGATAGAACATAGGTTGAACAGAAGATTAATCAAAGCGTCATATATACAAAAGGCTCATTATGAATTTATGTTCGGTCGTAATGATATTACTTACAAAATTCAAAGGTATGGGTATTTTGAGTATAATCAGTTACAAAATCATCTTACTTATGAGCTATTTTGTCATATATAAGAGTACAAAATCCCTGATAGTATGGAAAACCATTAAAAATATCTTTATCTAAACTGGAAAGAGATAATTGGTAACAAGGCGTGTATATTCTCTAAGGGTTTCTATTTATAAATATCGGACATTTTCAACAACTTTTGAAGTATCATGAAGGTTTTGTATTGAATTGAAAAAAATACGAATTTATGATAAAATTACATCACGAGATTTTACGTATTTTTTATCTATTTTTATTTATAATATTACAAACGTAATTTTAATTAATAGTTCTAAATTACCAAATACATTTATTTATTTTTTATTGCATCACATTATCTTAACAACTTACAAATTTTATCAATAATTTTTTACTTATTGTCATATGTCATCATTTATAGTTAGTTACAACTAACGTAAAAATTGTTACAAGTCCATCTAAAGTCATAAGCATGAGCATAAGAGAGACAAAACACATAACCTTCAGAGTGCTATGGTTGGAACATGCTAGAGAGTTTTACTAATAACTGATTTCTGCGTGTATAGAGTAGAAGCTTTGGGTATATATACCCAACACCGACAACCCATCTAGCTATAAATAGCTAAAACCTGAGTATAATCCTTAATCAAAGTTAATATAGACAAAAATAAGATAAATATAGAAAAATTTGATTTATGATAGATAATTTGACCTAAGATATTATATCTTGATCTATTACAACATATTTTATTTCAACAAACTACAATTTTAAATTTTTTTAAAAATTCATAACCTTTTATTAATATAACATTTTTTCAATTATATATGTTTAGTAAAACAAAAAAAATTTATTAATTTCATAAAATGATTGATTTTATTAAACATGATATTAATGTAGAATAAAAGTTCATTTTACTCAAAAAAATATGTGTATGTTTTTATACAAATATCATTCATATAACCAAATATGGTATATATTTTAACTATCAAGCTTTATCACATTCAATAACATATAATCACTCAATAGTTTATTCTTGTTGCTCATTACATAATTTTACTAATGGTTGTGAAATTAGATTTACGTAACAAGTGTATACAACATCAAAGCAATATTATCATTCTTCTACATATTCCATTTAAAAAAAATTCATTATTAAAAATCAGAAGTTTAATAAATTGAATATATATATTTTTCAATTTATTACAATTTGAAATGTTATATATGTAACAAAAAATTGTCAAATATGTGTTTCATCTCTACAATAAATCGTTTGGTTGTTTACAAAAAAAATCTATCCACATAGAATTTTTCCACATGAAGTAATAAATGATTGAAATATATATTTGATTAAAAAGACACATTTGTTTTATGTGAATTCAACTTTAAATTTGTAGAATATTAGTAGATGTAAATTAAACTCTTAGTTACTTTTGTTGATTCAAACATTATTGATTGGTTTGCTATAGTATTACTTCATAATAAAACCCATCAAAACTTTTAAAATGACAAATTTAATTTTTGATTTAGCAATATTTTGGTTTTATGGTAAACAAATCAAACCATTCATGTAACTATTTATATCTGTTTATTTTAAATGCATAACATAATGCATATGCAACACAACATGAATCTTGAGTATGTTGAGGTTAACTCCGGTTAAGGAGTAACCTCAGGCTCTAGCTATTTATAGTTATGTGTGTCGGTGGCTTTGGGTATAAATATACCCCCAAAGCCAAGGCTTCTTTGAGGAGCTGAAGTATTGTGTATTCACTTGTCAGTAAAATTGCTAAGTGTTCTAGCCGTGGACGTAGCCCTCGAGGGTGAACCACATTATATGAGTGCCCTGTGTCTTCGTACTTGACTTGAATGATTCTTGGTTTTACGTCTACAAATGGCATCAGAGTCAGTTTTAGCTTCGGATATATAATGAGTTTGTGTGCTGAAGGTTTTCTTAGTGACAGTTTTTAGCTGACGGTTTTCTCACGAACAATTTGTGTGTTGAAGGTTTTTCTTTGTGACAGTTTTTAGCTGACGGTTTTCTTAATGACAGTTTTCACCTGACGGTTTTCTCACGAATAGTTTGTGTGCTGAAGGTTTTTCTTTGTGACAGTTTCAGCTGACGTTTTTTCTCACTGACAATCTGGATGACAGTTTCCATAGTGATAGGTTACACTTTAGTGATGGTTATTTGAGATGATTTTGAGTTTCTAACGCTCCTGATATTTTATGACGGTTGTGAAATTTCTTTGAGTTTGAAGTTTTCTCGAAGTTTACCCTTTCTCAAAGATTTCTCGTCAGATTCAGAAGTTTTCAGTTTCGTTTTCTTGAAGTTTTTCTCGAAGTTTCAGTAACGTTTTTTCTTTGTGACAGTTTCAGCTGACGTTTTTTCTCACTGACAATCTGGATGACAGTTTCCATAGTGATAGGTTACACTTTAGTGATGGTTATTTGAGATGATTTTGAGTTTCTAACGCTCCTGATATTTTATGACGGTTGTGAAATTTCTTTGAGTTTGAAGTTTTCTCGAAGTTTACCCTTTCTCAAAGATTTCTCGTCAGATTCAGAAGTTTTCAGTTTCGTTTTCTTGAAGTTTTTCTCGAAGTTTCAGTAACGTTTTCTCGAAGTTTCAATAACGTTTTCTCGAAGTTTCAGTTTCCTTTTCAGTATTCAGATTAGGGTTCCCTTAAGGGCCAACGAGCGGCTGCCACCCCTGTGACTAGGGTTTCGTCAGGCCGTCTCCACCCCCTACGCTCCTGCGCGAACAGGGAACTTCGCGAGCGGCGCGGGTCACCATCTGCGCGGCGGATTCAATAACGTTTTCTCGAAGTTTCAGTTTCCTTTTCAGTATTCAGATTAGGGTTCCCTTAAGGGCCAACGAGCGGCTGCCACCCCTGTGACTAGGGTTTCGTCAGGCCGTCTCCACCCCCTACGCTCCTGCGCGAACAGGGAACTTCGCGAGCGGCGCGGGTCACCATCTGCGCGGCGGAGTCAGCACTTCCCGAGCGGCGTGCGCAGGCACGTCTCGGGTGGGAGTCGGAAGGCGGGGGCACTTCGCGGATGGGGGCCAGGCGGCGCTGGTCATCATCTGGGAGTCGGAAGGCGGGGGCACTTCGCGGACGGGGGCCAGGCGGCGCAGGTCATCATCTGCGCGAGAACACGCTCCGGGAGGGACTCGAACCCACGACCTCTTGCTTGCGAGCGCGAAGCATTAACCACTGAGCTACTGCTGTGGACGTGGTAAAACACACTTCTATTACTATAAGACTTGCGAGGCAAAAGGAATAGACTGTGCAGAGTTCCCTACGTAGTTGTAATTGGACGTGGTCAGCATCCTATTGAACGTAGTAGACGGCCACACGGTTAGGGTTATGCACCTTCATAGTTGGGCGTGGTCAGGGTTAGTTTGAGGTTGGACATGGTTGAAATTGAAAGATGTCACTCTGAACATGGTCAGTTGTGGACGTAGTTAGCACCAAAAAAAAAGAAAAAAAAAGGTTTAGTTTGAAGTTTAGGGTACGCGCTCACGTGGTCGATACATACGAGGTTAAAGCGCCAGCACTCGTAGTCGCGAGTGACGAATACAGTCGCGGGCGACGGTAGTCGCGGGTGACGGATCTTTTCAGTCGAGGGCGACGGTGGTCACGGGCGACGGCAGTCGCGGGTGACAGATTTTTTCAGTCGCGGGTGACAGACGTACAGTGCATCTTGACCATTTTCAACAGCTGAAAATGCATCCGAAGGACAAAATTGCCGTGACAACAGACGGTATCTCTAGTTTTCGTCAAACTAAGATGGCCTCGAAACAA